AAGAACCAAGGAAACATGACCGGTTAAGTCTTACCCAAAACTGACTAGTCATATTTATGCACGGTCACATGCAGAAATGATCCATAAGATAACTTCGTGTTTTAGCCCGGTCAAATTTAGAGAGGTTGACGGGGACAACGCGATGTGATGGGCGGTGTAACCCCCCGCTCAGCAATTTATCATGTGAATGTTTGGACGAACTAGCTTCGTCTTTCGATTTTATTAGAAAAATATGTTCGAAGAATTTTGCATTCCTCGACTCCATTATCGTGTTAATGTGTATTTTGGATTATCGGATTTATACACTAAGAATCGATAAGAGCTATCACTGTACCCAATGAAGATTTTGTCAACAATCTTCAGACCAATATTCATTTTCTTTCGTGGTTGTGCTAGAACTTTTGCAAGGCATCCCCACATTTTTACATATTTATAGGAAGGTTTCCTATTATACCACAACTCGTAAGGAGTTTTATCGAATTTCTTTCAAGGTATTTTATTTAACAAAATAATTGCTAGATAGAATAGCTTCACCCCACATATTTTAGGGTAGTCCCGAACTAAGCAACATTGCATTCATCATATCTTTAAGAGTTTGCTTTTTCTTTTCGGCCACACTCTTCAACTCAGGTGTGTATGGTGGAATTATTTGATGCACAATTACACATTGTGCACAAAATCGGTGCAAGAAGCCTCGTACTCCCTGCCCATATCACTCCTAATCGCTTTAATTTTGTGATTGAGTTGATTCCCAACTTTACTCTTATACCGAATAAAAGTGTCCAACGCCTCATCTTTACTTGCAAGTAAATAAATGTACCAGTATGGGCAGTATTTTGTGCTATCATCGACAAAAGTGATAACATATTTGTTAATACCTCTTGAAGGCGTTGCTATGAAATCACATATATCCGTGTGAACCAAATTTAGTGGCTGAGTGTGTAACGCCCCGAAACACGCCTTAAAAGTATTATTGAATTTTTATTCAATTAATCAAAATTTTTTTTATTAAAATATCTCATTCTTATAAAATATCAATGTTAAGCTAAAAAGTAATACATTTTTCTGCATCTTGTATAATACTCCCTCCGTCCCAAAAAGATTGTTACATATTGACTTTTTGGAAAATTAAGGGAGAGATATTTTGGTGTTGACTTTCCAAAAATATCCTTGATGTGATGAGTAAAAGTAGGATGTGATAGGTAGATTATTAGGAAAAAGGTATGATGTAATATGTAGTGTATGAAAAAGTAAGGGGTAAAAGTGGTTTTTTAATAGAAATGTAACTGACTTTACGGGACGCAATTTTTTCGAAACGTGTCAGACTTTTTGGGACAGAGGGAGTAATATATTACATGCTAGATGTTCTTGACAAAAAAAGTTGTATGCAATAAATAATACATTGCATAAAATGTTACACACCCATCTTCTCTTCAATCCCACTCATTGAGTCCCAAATTTAATAATATAATGTAATAATACTTTTTCATTCATATTTTATAATGTAATAACTTTAGAAAATCAAATTACGGGTAGCAATAAAAATGTATTTTAAAAGTAGAATTAGATTGGCATTGTCAATGTTTTTTAAAAATAATTTTTCCGACGTCTAATAATTAAGGATTACTTTTTCAAATTTCTATTTACCTTGTTTTTAAAGTTTATTCTTTTTTATTTTTAAGAAAAAAATTGTGCTTCATATCATTTTATTTTTCTCTACATAAATTATAATCACACAAAAGTTTTATTTTGTTTCTTCTTATATTTTTTCAATAGAAATTAAATTTATTTTTTGAAAGAATTATATCAAGTGAAACAATTAAAAAGTATGAAATTTAAAAAGTATGGGGTAATAACGATGATGATGATGATGATGATGATAATGATGATGATGATGATGATAATAATAATAATTCCTAATAATAATAATAATAATTTTTGATTGGATCTGATCTGATTGGATCTGATCTGATAATGATAAGACCTGATCTTATCAAATTTTAATAAGAATAAGAGAAAAACAAAAAAAATATTGAACGCAACGGAGCTTTAATTGTGGTGACAACACGTGTCATAGGACATATGCTTGCTTAATGAGGCACATGACATGTCACATGTATTTCTTATCGACACATGTCACACCACATGTTATGCCAGGTGTGCATATAAAATTTCATATTAAATAATTATTACTCTGTATTTTATTAGAGTTTATAATTAAGTTTTCACCTTCTAACATTTCACTTTTCTCACTAAAATTATTATTATTTGTATAAAATTTTCATTATTGTAACATACTCCATATTTTCAAATGCAAAACATTATTACATTTTTAGTAATACACACGTATTATAAAAACATCTACTCTCTCCCTTCTAAAAAGAGTTCCTATTTAATTTTGACCAAGTCTAAAATTAAGAAAATATTAAATTGTACTCCCTCCGTCCCAAATTATTTGCCACATTTGCTTTTTCAACAGTCACGGGAACTTTTGTTTATTTCTACGTTTTCATTGGTTATTTGATAAAATAAAATATTCTTGACACCTCTTATTTCGAAGAACTTTTCATGTAGTTTTTTGATATGTAATTTTTATTTTTTATTTCTTTATCAATATGTAAATAGAATGAATTGAAAAAACTTGATATTTTGCCTCGGTAATAGAAATGTGACAAATGATTTGAGACGGAAGGAGTAGTTAACTTCCAAATTTGTCATTGATATGAAAGAAAACCCCTAAATAGGAGTAAAACATGGATCATATCTTCAAAATAGGAGTTCAAACTTAAACTCCCCTAAATAGGAATAATTAATTAAATATAAATTTTGATTAATCCTCCTAGCCGCACAAACAAGTTGGCCGCACACCCCAAGTTGGGCGCACAAACCAATTTGGACTCTCAATACTCATTAAACAAAACTGTGGCAAAAAGTAGAGTTACTTGACATTTACCCATTTTGACATTATGCATTAACATCTGTGATATTTAACATTATACATTGATATATCATTCATTATACATTACCAGGAATGATATTATACAATGTCAAGGTTGGCATTATTAATTTAATTTGTTTAGCATTATGCGTTCGCATGTATGCATGACTTTATAAATTGGCATGATAGCCATTAATTATATGATTACATGTGACATTTAATGTGGTCTTTTCTTACACTGTATGGACATTTTAATTTAGCAATTTACTACGTTTCTTTATGTAAGGTATTGATTCATTTTTTGTTGATGAAGTTTTGGGTGTGTTTTGTTATTGAATTAATTTTGTTTACGTTCAAATTTGTTATTTTTTTAGCATTATGCATTCGCATGTATGATTTTATACATTGGCATGATTGTCATTATATGATTACATGTGACATTTGATGTGATCTTTTTTGACACTGTATGTACATTTTAATTTAGAAATTTACTACGTTTCTATATGTAGGTATTGATTCATTTTTATTGATGAAGTTTTGGGTGTGTTTTGTTATTGAATTAATTTTGTTTACATTCAAATTTGTTATTTTTTTGTCGATTCAGTTTTGTTAATGATTCAATAACAATTTACTATAAATCAAGATGATTGAACGAGAGTTCTTGCCAACAACACGCAGCATGGAAAGTTTTTCTTTAATAATCATACGATTGATTTGGCTTGTAGTTTGTGGAACTACTTGGTAAAGCAAGGGCAATGTCCCCATGGTCATTATGTTACAACATTATGTTCTCGTGGAAGAGTTGAAGAGGCACTAGAGTCTTCTAAGTTCTAAGCAAATGATAAGTTGTTAAAATAAATTAAATTACATTTTTGACATTACTAAATTTTTCCTAATTTCTAGAGTTGTCGGAGGTTGAGACTTAGAGGCTTTGAGTGTATGGGTGTGGAAAAGAGTATGAAAATTTATAATTTTAAAAAAATAATTAAATAAAGAGGAAATTGCATGGAAGAGGGGCAGTGAAGGTCCTAATTGGAAACAAAGAATTTGAAAATTCATGCATGAGACGGCTTAGAACAGTGCACCGGACTCCGGGATTGAAAATTCAGCACATGTACGAATAAGGAGTTTTGGAATTTAGTCATTGTTTAGTTTTGGGAGATGCATGAGTCATTGTTTTTGGAGTAAAAAAATTAGAGTCATTGTTAAGTTAATTACTCCTATTTAAGGGAGTTTAAGTTTCAACTCTTATTTTGGAACATGACAACTCTTTTACTCCTACTTTGATCCATCTCCCATATGATAAAAGTAAAATTTGATGGATAGATTGTTAGAGAAAAAAATATGATGTGATAGGTAGGGTATGAAAAGGTAAGAATCAAAGTAATTTTTTGATAGAAAGTGAAAGTATTTTATTAAAAGTGAAAAAAATGAAAGAAAAAATATTTTTGAGAACAGATGGAGTATCTTTTTTTGCCAATAAAAAAAAAATGAATCTAATAACTATAAAATTTATATAAGGTATATTATAATTTTATTAAATAACTAAAATAAATAAACTTTATTAGTATCCTAAATCCTAATCCAATAGGGAGTCATTTAACCCAACACAAATACTCCTTTCTTATGGATATATGGACCTCCTCTTAAGATTTGAGCTAATGTTTCAATCGTTGATTGCCGACCGGAACGCTGCTTGAAACATCGATCTTCTTCATCATCAGCTCCTTGCCAATTTCCTTGGAGGTAATCAATAGAACGCTTCATATATATAGGTGTGTAATTTCATGTGATTTTTATGTTTGCCTACGATTGATTTGTGTTCATTCGGTTTGGGTATAGTAGCAGCCCTAGGTTTTGTGCTTGGGTTAAATTAGTTATATTCAAATCAGAACAATTCAATAATGGGTTATATATTGGAGCCCGTTGACGCATTATTTGGGGGTGAGCCAGATGAATGTGATTTAAAAAAAAAAATTATAACAATAAATTGTGAGTATTTCTTTCGTTGAACACTAAGTAATATAATTAGTTAAATAATCTAATACTCTCTTCGTCCCGGAAAACATGGGAGTTTTGATTTTGAAGAGGGATTTAAGGAGAGTATATTTTGGTATTGAATTTCTAAAAATGTCCTTTGATGTGATGGGTAAAAGTATGATTTGATGGATAGATTATTAGTAAAAAGGTATGATGTGACAGGTAGGGTATAAAAAAGTAAGGGGTAAAAATGACTTTTTAATAGAAATGAGAAGTGTTTTTTGGGACGGAAGAAGAAGTATATCACTCGTATAAAAAAAGATGGAAATCCGGTCTCCTATATGGCCTTTCTCGATGATTCCAACCCGAAGAGAAGCAAGGCTGGACTCCTTCAAGAGCCGAATTTCCTGAAGGCAACCCAACAAACGGAGTTCTCTACATTCAAGTCAACCATGAGGGTCTCCGTCCAGTGCGCTTCGACCCCACGCGCCACTTCTCCTCCCTGAGGAGCACCTCCCTCTTCTTGGCTGGCGCAGTCGCGGGGCACCTTGGCCAGGATCAGGAATCCACCGTTCATCTTATTTCTCGGGTGGCGGAGCACGTCTTTCCACGGGTGGCGCGTGGGACTTGCGGAGTATGCATATTGGTAGAGTTTTGGGTTCACGAATTCCCGGATTTTGCGCTTCAAGGTCAGCTTCTTGCCTCTCTGCTGCCGCCGCCGCCCTACGAGGATGGAGAGTACGGTAATTCTCTTCCCGAATTGGTGGGGGAGAACGTCGGAATGTCGGAGGTGGAGATTTCTCTGCTGACGAAAGAGACCCAGAGCGGCGGCGGCGAAACCTGCTCCATCTGCCTCGATGAGTTCTCCGACGGGCACGTGATCACGCCCCTCTCTCCGTGCTCTCACAAGTTTCATGCCGCGTGCATTACGACTTGGTTGGGGAAGAAGCGGACATGCCCTATGTGCCGAGGCAGAACCCGTCCTATTGCCGGCGGCGGCAGCGGCCCAATGCTACTAAAGTCCAAAACATCTTGTTATTTGTGTTTTTTTGCGACCCTACTTGTTACCCTAGCATCATCGAACCACAACTCCCAACTCCCAAGTCACTAGCACAAAACAAATTTTAATTTTGTTCTTCTTTCGTGCCAGTATTAATTTAATTTGACATTTTTGAATCCATTAACTTCCATTTCAACCATAGTTTGACTTTTTTTTATCATATTACATTTATCTTATCAAAAGAACTTTCAAAATTTATTTCATTATACTAATATGTAATCCCTTCGTTTGCAAAAAGACTTCCCATTTTGATTTGGAGACAAAAATAAGGAAGTGTTAAATTATAGTTGATTTCCAATTTTGTCTCTGATGTGATGGGTAAAAGTAAGATATGATGGATAGATTATTAGAGAAAAAGTATGATGTGATATATAGGGTATGAAAAAGTAAGAGTAAAAGTGGTTTTTTAATTAGAAAATGGAAGTGTTTTGTTGGAAGTGGAAAAAATGAAAGAGGAAGTGTTTTTGAGAATGGAGGGAGTAATATTATTTCTAATTCTAGGTATTATATTGTCTAGTTTTAACTTTTTTAGTCAATTATTTTTAACCTTGACCTATTATTAAATAAATAATATTGTTATATTAGTTAGTTAAAATAGTATTTTAAAAAATACCATTACAAATATTCAAATGATATACTCCGTAATTGTGAAAGGAACTTTGTAATGACACTATTGAAGACCAAAATGTTGTACATTTTCCTGTCATAGCAGATTTTGTCACCGCAGAAAAATTGTAACAAAATTTGTACTCGGTAACATTTTTTTAGAATTTAGATGAGCCCATTTCATCGAAATTTTGTCCCCCCAAAAAAAACTCAAAATCAAAGAGCATATATAACCATAGCTTCATCTGGAATAGATAATAAAATAGAATCGATTAAAAATTAACAATATATAGTAATTAATCTCCCTGATTGTGAATATATTAATTCGGATCAAACCCATTGATTGCATGCATATGAGCCATGGCCATGCAACACTTAAATTACTTCTTGACACCATACATAGATTCCACCTTGCCATCATTCCCACCAAGCAGCATATACTTGTCTTTCCTTGTCAACTGAGTGCACTCAAACCCTAGGGCACTTCCCAAGACCTTCTGCACATAGTTTGCCACCTCAATGGATGACTTCCCGCCGGCCTTACACGTCATGTCCTCGGGCAACGGGTCAAGGAACGTGACCTGGTAGGTCGGTCTGGGGTTCATGAAGAAGAAGTACGGGTCCCAGAACTTGACCCCGCGCACGGTCGTGCCATGGAACATGTTCTGCTTGGTGTTCACAGCGACTGGCACGATCCTGTCGCTCAGCTCGGCGAACAGGGCGCTGAACCTCAGGAGGAAGGGCTCCCTGCACGTGGTCCCCTCGGGGCACACCACCAGGTCGCCCTTCTCCAGGAGGGATTTGATCATCGCCGCGTCCTTCTCGCGGTCGCGCGTCAGCGCGACCGCGGGGATCGGGGACAGGAACCGCGAGAGCTTGCTGACGCTGTACGTCACGCACGAGACCTTGCGCCCCAGCGCGATCGCGATCACGATGGGGTCCAGCGCCGTGCGGTGGTTGCACACGTAGAGGTTCCCTCGGCACCCACCGGCCGACGGTGGGGGAGGCCGAGGCCCCTTGATCTCGAGGTTGATACCGAGCATTGGGTATGTGTAGCGCACGATGCGCTCAGGGAGCGGTAGGTTGAAGTAGACGCGAAAGACGGCAAGGGCGAAGCCGAATGGCAGCCATAGGTAGGTGATGAGAGCGTTGAGCAGGTCCGGCCGCTGGACCAGTCGACCGTCGTGGAAAACCAAACGAGTTTTCAAGTGGTCCAGCGGGACCGGAGTTGCTGATTTGCTAGGAGGTACCATATACCCTTTCTGCAAGAAAAAAAAGGAAACATTTTTAGTGTTTTTATAAGGACAAGTTATTTGGACTAAACATATACTCATAACATACTTTAATTTGTGCATGGTATAAAAGTAAGGATCGATAATGGGTAATACTACCCCAACAGGAAATTACTAAATTTTTCTAGTTTTTCATATTATGTCAAGGGATGACCCGGGCTTCAGTTGGAGCCCTTACGGAAGTCTGTTCGAAAAATTGACGGTTCTTACTCCACTTTTTACTCCCGATAAACCCTCGCCCTGGCCAATTCGACTCGAACTCACCCCACCTCCTTCAATTGCACATCAATTTTAGTTGACTTTAAAGTTAAATTTTTTGACTCCAAAGTCAACTAAAATTGAGGATACAATTGAAGGGGATCAGGTAGGAGGGTATCGAGGGATTAGGTGGGATACGAACCTTCACTTTTTCAATGTCATAGGAGCCTCTCCGATCCCTATATACTTTCTCCATCCCAAATTAAATTTCTTATTCACTATTCACATGGCAAACTTCATTCACTTTCTTTTTTTATTTTCTTTAGCAATTTGATAAAATAAAATAGTCACGTCACTACTAGTTTTGTAGATCTTTTGATGTTGTATTTAAATATGTAATTTTTATTTTTTAATTATACACTACTTGTCATATAAAATAATTTGAAAATAATTTCAGTCAAACATTGTAAACTGAAACGGGAAATATAAGTTGGTACAGAGGGAGTAATATTCACTCTTTGATTTTAAAGAATAATTGCTAGATTAAAGTAAAAACATGTACAAAAATTTTAATATAAGAGTAATATATGTAGTTTTAGTTCCCTAAATAGGAGTGTGATGGTAGTGTGTAGCAATGTGACAATATGATGACAATGTGGTGGCAGTGTGATGAACGTGTAAGTAAACAGTGGCGGATAAACAGTAAACAGTGGTGGAGCTCTAACGACCCACGGCGACACACTCTAACGAAATTATATTACGACATTTGTGTGTTAGCAACAAATGACAATATAATCATGGCTCTGTTTGACACCAACATTAGAGAGAGATTAGCAATGTCGAAAACCATGTTCTCAAGTAATGGCATATGACATATCACAAAAAGGTTTATATGATACAAATGGAAAAAATAAGTAGGCAATAACAAAAGCATTTAACGCCGACAAAGGAGGTTTGATCATACGCGAGTAATCCATCCCCAGTAAGCAAATGAAAGGCAAAACAAAGTGTCCAGATAGGCAGGCAGGTGGGGGTGATAAATGCTACGGAGTAATAGTAATGGGACCAATTCAATTCATCACAAATACACATCTTCTTCTTTAATGTGCGAAATTGCTCGTAACTCTCACATGTGGTTCAATTTCACTATACTAACTAACGCTATTTCAATTTAATTTGTACACCTACACATATAACATTATTTGGGCATCATCTATACACTACTCCCTCCGTCCCATAAAACATTTCCTGTTTCAAAAATGGCACACTTTTAAAATGAGTAATTTTAGTGTTATTTTTTAATTATGACTAGTCTATTCTACACATCACATCCTACTCTTTTAAGAAGTAAGGGCAAAATTAGAAAATAACACCAAAATTATTCATTTTAAGAGTGCGCCTTTTTTGAAACAGGAAATGTTTTATGGGACGGAGGGAGTAGCTAGTAGTATATCGTAACAGACTTTAATCCACGGGACACGACAATAAAAATGGATTATACAAGTGGTGTAACGCCATGACTCCCATTCCAATTGGGGTATCTACGATGTTCTGCCCGTAAAATTGTAGGTTCCTACCCCTCAAACCTCCACCCCGACCGTCATAACCCTTTCAATTACATCCCATAAATGTTGTTCACTTTTTGGGTCAAAATTTTGACCAAAATGTCTGGTATGAATTAGAGTGAGGGTTATGAATTGAAGGGTATGAACTGTCAATTTTACAAACTAAGCACCATAGTTGATCCAATTGAAATGGTATTACGATGTTCACACCATTTTGATAAAACTCTACAATTTTCCTTTAAAGTTACTAGTCTTATGAGTTATGACAAAAAAAAAGGTGTAAAAGAGAGCAATGTTTGGTCCCACTTTTGGTGATGGCGAAGGAAAATTATTAGATCTCACTCAATTTTGGGTGACCCAAGAGACCTGAAAAGATTTTATCATTTTAATTTTTAAGGAAATTTACTAAAATAGGACTAAAACATAATGACTTTCTCAATATAGGATTACATGTATTTATTTTCCAGTGTAAGACCATTGGTCATTATCCATTAATCATTATGCAAACAAATGTCTAACATTACTGGACATAATTCCTCCCACTAAACATTATTAAGTATTATATAGAAAAATAAAAAGTTTAGGTTCCCACATTGAGAAATGACTTACGGAGTATCTTTTGTCTGATTTAGTACAAATTTTACTTTTTTTTAATGCCACTTTGATCAATTTTAGCTATTGTACCAACTCATTTGGAACTAACCAATTACGGAATATATACTTCTTCCATTTTTTTTAATTGACCAATATAATTTTTATGATACATTACATTTTTATTTTTTGTTACTAACTTAATCACTTTTTCAAGTAGTTTCCAATTAAAGTCGTGGCTAATTAAACGCCTTAAACTCTTCTTCATCATGTTGATTTGAAAATGATGATAGAATCCATGTTTTCAAAAATAACGTTACCCGTAACTTCCGTAAGCAACAATATTTTTTATAATTATGCTACACTCACGCCAAATTTGACATCATATGTTTCACATACATACATAAATAATCATTAGTTAGTTGAATTCTACAAAACTCATTGTCTTTACATATATCTATATACACGTAACATCAATGGCTCGTTATGTTTGATAAGTGCATTATATCTGAGTTTTGATATCAAAACTTATTTTTTCTGGTTTTGGTATAATATAGAGAAAAATTGAATTCGATATCTTCCAATATCACAATTCTTCATAATTGAGGATTTTGATATTTCGCGAATTGAAAACATATCATTATAGAAGACCAATCTTTCTCCCAACTGTCAAACACTCTTTGTTATCGGCTACCGTTATCAATTAGTGAAATTTGCACTAAATAGGACTAAAACATAATAACTTTCCTAATCTAGGACTTAAACTTTTTTATTCCCTAAATAGGACTTATTAATGTCTTATTAGTGAGAGGAATAATGTCCAGTAATGATGGACATTTACTTGAATAATGACTAATTCATAATGACCTAAAGTCCTACATTGGGAAATAAAAACATATGGTCCTATATTGGAAAAGTCATTATGTTTTAGTTCTATTTAAGTAAATTACTCTATCAGTTATCGCACTGCCAACCCCACCCTTCATAAACTAATTAATTTATGATTTTAAATCACTCCAAATAATCTAATTTCCCATTTTGGACTCCTATACTTGCAAAATTTATCAAACTAAGCCAAAATTATATAGTCAAAACTCTAATCCCAAAATAGATTTATCCTAATTATGAAGTGGAAGGATTGAGTGAGGGTGTGACTAACCTTGCAAATGGACAAGAAATCATGGTCGGAGACTCTATCTCCCATCCCAATATCAGGCAAATCCTCTTCTCCGAACTCCTTCAAAACGGCCAACTTTTTCCATTTTCCCACTAATACCCCTGGCTTCTTCACGAACCCGGTCGCCCTCTTCGTCCTAGGGTTCACTTCGATCTCCGTCCCCACTACCTTATCCCCGCCCAAATACTCCCTCACGAACGCATCCACCATCACCGTCGGATTCGCCGTCACCACCACCCTCCGCCGCCGGCACTTGTCGAACACCTCGAAGCTCTCCCGCCTCACGGCCGCCGCGTAGAACCTCGGGAGCACCGCCCGGGACGCCAGCTCGATGTCCCGGATCTTGAGCCCCGCGAAGGAGATGTAGATCAGGATCTGGATCGCGAGCGCCTCGGAGAGGAAGAGGTAGGCGAAGGCGACGGCCGGGAAGGCGAGGAGGAGGAGGAAGCCCCTCAGGAGGCTCCCTGCTTCGATCGCCACCAGCATGAAGTACGGGAAGGAGGAGCGGGAGATGAGGAGAGTCCCGTCCAGGTCCGCCGCCACGGAGTGGTCGTTCACGGCGGAGACGTCGCATGACGTTATCGGCGGGAAGGTTTTCTTCCCCGTTTCCGACGACATTTCTCGTTTGGTTGCTCTGTTTCGCCGGCAGGGGAAGGGTATATATGGGTTTTAGATCCGGGAAGGAATTTTACGTGGAGGGACGGAAATGCCCCTGGGATAAAGGGGACTTAAATGCGCCGTTGAAAAGGTGTAAAATTTTGGTGGGAAGTAATTGGTTGGTTGGGTCTGCATTTGATTTCGTTGGGGGATAATTGCAAAGTCATGCTTCATAAATGCCACATTATTTAGTGTCATGTAGATTTGAAGTTTTGGGTCCAATGGTGTAGTTATAATTATAGTAAAAATAGTAATAATAATATTTATAGTCATAATAATAATAATAGTAATAATGATCGTAATAATAATAATAATAATAATAATAATAATAATAACAACAACTAGTACTTAATCCGTGCGTTGCACGGGAACATATAAATTTCTAAAATTAGATTAATTTAAAAGTAAAATATAATTTTTAATTTTAAAATCAATAATATGAGAAATATGTTATATATAAGCTATATTAATATCATTGAATATAGTTAACATATATGTCACCTATGTAATAATATTATTTAAATATACAATAGTGTACATAATTTTGAGATATATATTTAATAACGAATTTTTGTTAATCATAACAATGTTTAATTATTTGTGTAGAAAATAATTAAACAATATTGGTGGAAAACCTCTTTGTGCACAATATTGGTGGTCTCAAAATATTGGTTATTTTCATTGTTACAAAACAAAATCTTGAACCCCGAACGACTTCTAACCCAGGACATGACAATATACAATTGTCTTTGACTAAAAATTAGGTTTTTAGTAGCACTCCAATCTTGGAAAGTGATTATCCTTCACCCAAAGACATTTGTATATCTATCATATTGGTGTCCATAAATTTTGTTATGAGCTTATATGTCATGAGAATATCAGTTATAGATGCAGTTTCACCTGCAAATAGCCAAAGTTAATAATTGAGAGAAAATAGGAAGCTATGTTTATTGTTTTATGAAAGTTTATGCATGTGACATTTATCTTATACTACCTCCGTCCCACTCTCTTTGTCCACTTTTGACTTTTGGAACTGTTCATCTAAACACTTTGACTCATCAAATTCTCAATGTGTAAACCTAAATATAGTCATGTGTGATCTTGTTTGATTTGTCTTAACATATAGATTATTAATATATAATTTTTATAATTTTTTAATATACAAATTACAAGATAAAATGGATTAAAGAAGTGCATTGGATAATGTGCCAAAAGGAAAGTGGACAAAGAGAGTAAGACGGAGGGAGTATTAAGAATTTTTGTATTGTCCTTATAATCCTTTATCACAAATTAAAGGCTCGGTAATTTTGGATTTTCAAATTTCATGTAATGTGGCCCTTTTTTTAAAACATAATTTAAGTGTATGCCACATTTTATTTAGAATTCACTTAGGCCCCGTTTGGCATCAGTGTTATACATTAGCGTTCACGTTTCGAAAAAGCTACCCGACGTTAGCTTTTAGCGTTTTCAGAGTTAATCTACACCATTAAAATATTATCCAAAACGCCAACACTAATCTATAACGTTTTTTTAAAACAAGGCCTTAATTTTATCACAATGTCCATGGTTTATTACCACCAAAAAATAGATATGGATCGGGTTTTTTTGTAAAGGAATTTTTAAATTAGCGTCATTTTTAAGCGACTCAATTTAGTAATTTCCTTACTTTATTAGTAGAAAAATGAAAGATAAGGTTGTGCTTTAATTTGAGACAAAGGCTGTGTTTGAAAAACAGCTTTTCAAATAACTCTTGGCATCTTTGACTGACTTTGGCTTGTTTGACTTATCGAACAACTAAAACCATTGTTTGGCTAATGATTTTTTCACTTGGCTTTTTGATCTGAAATGCCAAAATTTGAAAAGCGAAAAAGAGTAGCTTTTGAACTTGGCTTTTAGAAAAATTATTTTTTAATCATTTTTCTTGAAAGATATTTTATAATATATTGAAAAAAAGTTAAAAAAAATTCAAAAATTAAAAAAATAAATTTTAAATTTGAAATTTTCAAAAAAAAAATTACGAGAAAATCAAAAATAAAAATAATTAAAAGTTTTATTTTAATGATTTCTTATGAATTATATGAAAATGAAATTTTATACTCCACATATTAATGATTTAATTTTTACATATACAAAAATAAAAAAACAAATATCGTGTGTATGTATGTATGTATGTATATATAAATATAATATCCTCAAAATAGGAGTTCAAATTTAAACTCAAAATAGGAGTAATTATTAAATTTTGTTTTCATTTACTCTCCCGCACAAACCACATCATATCTTAGCCCTATATGGTCGAAAAAGTCACCCAGCCCGGCCCCTTCCCAGTCTCATCATTTTACGATCTCCTTCTTCGTTCCAATCTCAGTTGCTAATGTTGTCAACCTAATATCAATCCCCTCTTCGCTGCTACCATCTCCTCTATGCGGCAATGATTCCACCGCACTCTCTATCATCTCCCTTTCTCTCGTACATACCCCTCTCCACAATTTCCATTTTTCATCGCTCTGATGACTCTGTCCTCTTGGGTAAGTTGAATTCAATTTGATATTTAATTTGATATAAGTAGTTAAATTCAATTTTAAATCTAAATTTTTATATAGATATTTATTTTCTATCACTTCATTTGATTTTATATCCGGATTTACTTTTTTGAAAATTATTTTGTAAAACATTTATTGAAACTAAATGATTATTGTGTTGGCAAATAGAATTTCTTGATGTTTAACTTTGTTTTAGATTATGCATTAACATATATGTTATATGTAACATTATACTTTGACATGTCTGTCATTATACATTGCCAAGTGTGACACTATATATTATCATATTTGACATTATCTCTTGGTTTAACATTATGCATTTGCATGTATGATTTTATACAATGACATGATTGTCATTATGCGGTTATATGTAATGTTAAATATGGTCTTGTTTGACACTGTACATACATTTTAATGTAGCAAATTTACTAAGTTTCTATTTATTGCTTAAGAATTTTGACATATATCTACAAGGTGATGTTTGACACTCTATGAACCTGAGGCAACACTTAAAGGTGATGTTTATCCAGTTTTTTTTCTCTTCCTAAGAATGTGAAATCAGAATATTTGAGTTGTGAATTCGGATAAACATATAAATATTTAGGTTCAAGGTAGAAAAAGCCATATTTGTCTGTGGTACTCAGTTTTGGGTGTGATTTTGTTATCTTCCCTTGACGATATAGTTAAAATAAGCGTTTATTGACAATATTTTATCTTTGGGTAAAAAAATTAGTCAGCTTAGTAGTTAGCTGTTGTTTTGACAAAAAATAAATATAATGTCCTCTTTTATTTTCCGACTCGAAAATATAAATTATTTGTAAAGTCAATCTTTTAATTTAAAAAATAGGTAATTGGGTTGATCTCGTAAAAAACTGACTAACAGCATATAATTTGTTAAGTTTAGACTTTGGTGTAAAAAAGTTATGAGCGAAATAAATATTACAGTTCAATAAATAAATATAAATATTTTATAATATAATAATAATAATAAATAATTAGTTTCCTAATCTATTCTAATTCCTACACATAAGGCCGGCCACAACTCAATGCCAAGACCCAACCCCCCCCCTTAACGCATGTAAGAAAGTATAGTAATTTGCACATGTACACTGCCACATTACCACAATGCAAAGTCACATTACCACAATGCAAAGTCCTATTCTGGGGAAAAAACATGAAAATCCTATTTTAGTACTTTTCTCTATGTTTTAGTCCTATTTAGGATGATTTCTATAAAAATTAATTAATTACTCCTATTTAGAGGAGTTTAAGTTTGAGCTCTTATTTAGAGAATACTACCTTCGTCCCATTGTATTTGTCCAGTTTGACTTTTTCGAGTCAAACTGGACAAACTTTGAACTCCAATTACTCTCAATTCATATTGCATATTAAAATAATGAAATACAATTTTGAAAGTTCTCAATACGATAAATCCAATAAATTCATTTTTATGTTAAAATACATTACGGATTTTATTTAATTGAATCTCAAAATTTGTCCAACTTAACTCAAAAAAGTCAAACTGGACAAATACATTGGAACGTAGAGAGTATTCCATAACTTTTACTACTAGTTTGGTCCATTCTCCTTAGCTAATTTTACCAAATTTTTGATCGGCCAATTTCGGTCAAGCCAGCTAAATCAAAGGGAGAGAGGCGAAAGACACGGAGAGAGACAGAGATAGAGAGAGAGAGGCGACATCGAGAGAGAATATGTTGTCGCCTGTCGGTGAAGCCTTTACCGCCGGCTTTGCCGGCAAGTTGCATGACCCGCAGCTTGAAATCGGAATGATAACGCCAGGAGTAGTCATGCAGTGGCAAATCGCACAAAATTTTAAGGTTCGGAGCTGGATCCCGAGCGTTTGTTCGAAGGTCACGATATCAAATCTTTTATTTTAGTTGTTTAATTGAAAGATATTATATTTACATTTCGAATATTCATTGGATCTTTATTTTTTCTTCAAATTTGTTCAGAATCAAATGAAGGGTTTTATGTGAGATTAGCCGTAAATTTTAAATAATATCTTAATTTGTCAAAAATCTGTCTCAAGGAGCGTAATTGAGGTTTTTTCTAGGTTGTTGATTGGATTGACATTTTATGAATTGCAATGAAAGACCATTAGCAAGTCAAAATTGTAAAGCAATTGTTGTTTTTTCTGGTTCATTTCATGTGCTGTCTTTTATCTTCTTTTCATTTAGTTTTTAAAAGATATGGCTTTCTTTGATTGTGTGGAGTTTGTTTTTCATTTTCTGTTTTGAGAATGATTAAATAATTCCTTTTTTTTTATTTGTTTGGGTTTTACAGGCTGTGTTTTTTTTCAAGTTCATGTGTTCTTTGCTAATGTTTTTTTAATTCTGATGATAACATTTTGATGTTAAAATAGATCAAAAACTTGAAAGTGTGTGAAGCTTTAAAGTTTGTGAATGTACTGATGTTAGGAAATTATGTTCTTTTATAGTCTTAATTTTGTGTGCTTTAGTATTACATGCTATATTCAAGAAATGGTGCTTTTCAATATAAAGAAACATCCTTAGAAGGAACAAGAATGAAGTACTAAATTGACACCATGCAAAGAAGAAGATCTATATATGGAACATCAATATTATTTGGGAAGCCTTTAAAATTCTCTTTTCCAGGATTTAAAAGAAGTTGTCCCCTAAGGCCCCGTTTGGTACACGGAATTCAAACTATGGAATTGGAATTGAGGACTTCAATTCCAATTCTAGTATTTGATAGCACAAAAATTATGTAGATTTGGAATTGGAAGTGCAAAAAAAGAATTGGAATTGGTGAATTCAATTTCTATGGAATTGAATCCCATGGAATTTTAATTCCAATTCAATTCCAATTCCATCAATTCTGTGTACCAAACGGACCCTAAGTGATTTGAAATTTATCATGTGGAAAAAATTCCGTGACTCATTCTGTAATGCAAAAGGCTTTCATAATGAAAATATGATGGAAGTTACGTATTCGGATTTGATAAAAGTAATCTATTTTGTGTTATGCATTAAGTTCCCCATCAATCTTTTATTTAGTTATATGTGGATTGATAATTTATATAGAAAAGATACTTAGTGGTTGAGTTTGGTCTTTTGTAGGAGTCATGTCTTCTGAAATTGTTTGATTTTCATTTGCTTGAAGTGTTTTTATTAGTTGATATTTGTGATGGGGCGATGAATGAAGACGAAGTAAAGACACTGCATCCTCATCATACTGACAACGGGGATTTGTTTTTAATCCTGAGCCTGTGAGCATAATGTTATATTGTTATGCCTCACTTTGAATTGGTTGATCTTGTTAGTTTTTATGTCATGTTTCCTGGTGTGAATGTATTGGAGCATGCGTATTTAATTTTTTATCTTGAAGATGCAAGGAACGAGGTAAACTTGTTAGTTCCGAATTTTGAGAAAAGTAGGAGGTCTTTAAATTTGTCTCTTTCTAGAGAGAATAAGAAAGGGATTCTCATTTATATGTCTTCATACTATAGTCATTATGAGTTTAGTACGTCCAATGCCATAGGAAGCATTTCCCAACCATCTATTGGTAAGAAGATTGGAATATTATATTGGAGGCGGATCAGGGTCTTCGGGTGCTACCGTTGTGGACAAAGAGTTCCATTTAATTGTTGTTTACCCACATTCGCATTGTGCTCAGCTCACTATCCGTGCAAACACTACCGGGGTTGAAAAGTTGGGGGTAGGTATTATTCTATTGATTGTAGGTACGACGTCCGTAGGTGAGTGGTCATTCAAGTGATTGTTAAGTTAACTAAAGACATAGAAGACACTGTCACATTAGACGACAGAGTCAAGTATATACTTGACAATCATGCTAAATACATATATTATGACTTTTCATTGGTGGCACGGTAATGAGCTGAGCACAATGCGAATGTGGGTGAACAACAATTAAATGGAACTCTTTGTCCACAACGGTAGCACCCGAAGACTCCAATATAATATTCCACAAACTTCATACCAATAGATGGTTGGGAAATGCTTCCCATAGCATTGGACACACTAAACTCATAATGACTATAGTATGAAGATATATAAATGGACATCCCTTTCCTCCTCTCTAGGAAGAGACAAATTTACAGTCTTCCTACTTTTCTCAAAATTCGGAACTAACAAGGTTACAGTGTTCCTTGCATCTTCTAGATCAAAAACTAAATATGCATGCTCTAATACATTCTCACTGGGAAACTATGTTGCACGGAAACGGCAGGTAGCATGCCGTACCCGTATCGGAGACCATGGACACGCGGAAACGCGTCGGAGACGCCTGGAGACGTCTCGGAAACTCCAGCTGGCATTTCCTTAAATTAAAATTTAAATAAATGCTGGGAGACGTCTGGGAGACGCCGGGGAGACGCGTCTCCCTTTTCCGAAAAGGCTTGGACGACACAGGAGACGATATAATCAGAAAGAAAGAAGAGAATGTATCCAACCTAGTTGAATGGGAAAAAAGAAAATTTTAAAAAAAGAGAGAAGAAAAGAGTCGCGTCTCTCTTTTGCGGCGGCTTGCTAGGGTTTTTTTTGTTTTCCCTGCTTTGCTTATTATATATCCACTTCCCTGATCTAATATTTGGGCTTCTATCCCTACGTGGGCCTTAGATTTAATTCTTGACTTTTTTCTCAATATTAGATATACATGATCCAAATAAAATACTATACACGTAGAAAAATTTATGTGGGAAAGAAAGAGTAATATATATATATATGCCGTCTCCCCGGCGTTTCGTATCCCCATTTTTTCAAAATAGCCGTCTCGGCGTCTCCGTTTCGTCTCGTCTCCGTTCCCGTCTCCGTTTCTATGCTACATAGCTGGGAAACATGACATAAAAACTAACAAGATCAACCAATTCAAAGTGAGCCATAACATTATGCCCACAACTCAGGATTAAAGACAAATCCCCGTTGTTGTCAGTATGATGAGGATGCAGTGTCTTTACCTCGTCTTCATTCATTGTCCCATCACAAACATCAACTGATAAAAACACACTCAACTCTTCCAGCAAATGAAAATCAAACAATTTCAGAAGACATGACTCCTACAAAAGACCAAACTCAATCACTAAGTATCTTTTCTATATAAATTATAAATCCACATATAACTAAATAAAAGATTGATGGGGAACTTAATACATAACACAATATAAATTACTTTTATCAAATCGGAATACATAACTTCCATTTAATCGATGTTCACACACATTCTCATCGTGCTGAGCTCACTATCTGTGCAAACACCACTAAGGATGAGAAGTTGGGGAGTGGCTATTATTCAACTGATCTTAGGTATGGTGTTGTAGGTTAGTGTCATTGAGGTGCTTGTTAAGTTAACTAAAGACACTACCACAGTAGAGGAGAGACTCAAGTATATATTTGATTATCATGCTAAATACATATCTGATGAGTTTACTTTGGTTGCCACGTGCAAAGGGTCGTCGAGTCCTTCCGCTTGTATAAGTTCTAACAAAGTGGCTTGTAAGGACTTTTGTTCTGATCTACATGTTTCCTCTTCAGATTGCGGGTACTACTCTGTGATTTTCTAAAATTTCTCATGTTTTTATTAAAGATGTTAATCATGTAATGAGTTTCTCAAACTGTGATATATATGTGTGTGTGTGTGTCTATATATATATATATATATATATATATATATATATATATATATATATATATATATATATATATATATATATATATATATATAGGGATTGACTCCAGTGAGATGACACCTTACGGTGCGATGACATGTTTCGGTCAGATGACGCAAAGCTCACCACACTACACTGCAAAGCTCACCTGAAAATAAAGCAAAGTTCACCACTTTGAACCCCAAAACTCACCTTTTTTTTAATTTTGAAAATTTAAAAATTAATTAAAAATAAAATAGCAACACCGGTCAACCACCAGTCAACAGCGGAGGCAGGCGGCGGTGACCGGCGGCGGCCGGAGTATGGCGGCGACCGGCAACCGGCGGAGAAAAACAAAAACATAAGGTTTCATCTCACTGGAGTCCAGATGTGTGTGTGGTTCTTGCTTAGTTATGTGGGTTCTTTACATTGCAGGTATTTTAATGCTGCTATCCAAACAAATGCTCCTCATCTTCTCCTTTATCATGTTTTGCCATTTATAATCAACAATAGGAGAAGACCTCAGTTCCAGAAATTTATCAAAGTCANAATCACTCATCTGTATTTGGCATGTCTTTTTGTCAAGTATGACTTTGATGGTGCACAAAAGAAGTTGAGGGAATGGGAACAAGGATTCACTCCGTTTTACCAATATGTGTTAAGCTTATTTCCCATCTTCTGTGTTTGTTTCAACTCTTGTTCTCCAGTGTCCTTTGCAACTTAGTTGATTTGGAAGGAACAACAGTCCATTGCTTAGTTGTTTTGCTAATGGCCGCCCAATTTTCTTTGTGATTGTAATCATAATTAGAAGTTGTTACTATTGTGGCTGCTGTCGTTTTGAACTTGCATTGTTGTGCTTATATGAGAAGTTCAATGGAGAAGCTGTTGCCATTGTGGCTGCAATGAATTATAATGCATTGTTTTTAGGTATCAGAATACCATTTTAGGTATACACCCTATAATTTTAGTACATGATACATTTTTCAGTGTAACAATGAAGTAGTGTCGAAACTGGTTTTCTTAAATAAAAAATATAGTATTGGCTTTTTATTGAAATAAAAATATGAAACTGGTCCTTCCTAAAATATAAAAGAATGAGTGTATACAGTCTCTGTTAATTATCTTAGGCTATGGGGTGTGGGATTTGCGTGGTTGATGTGGCACGCGGTCCCGACGTGGAACACCCCACCCCTGATCGAGACTCGGCAATGCGGGCTTCTGCACGCTGATTTCCAGGATCTAACTTTTTTTCTTATGATTGTTGCTCCCAAAATTTTTTGAAAAAGGTAACCGTTGGGTTCAAAGAAACAACTCTATTTAAACACACTTCTACCCAAACGTGCATCAAATATTCTCCAAAAAACACTTCTCCATTTACAAAATATTTTGTGCCATGAATTCTTCATCTTCTGACGTAGTCGGGAAATTTTTAAATTTGGTGACAGATGCCGCACAAATTCTTCTAGCGCAACATGAAACTACACTTTTATATGTGCCATGAAAAAGACAACGAGTGTTACACCGAGATCAAGACGGTATGAATTATTTGGATTCAATCGTATAATCTATAGTATATTTTAAGATTTTTTTTGTAATTGCATTCAATTTTAATATTTGAATTTGTAGCTAGTCATGAGCAGTTGGTTTTCGACTACTTTGCAGAGGTCCCCGTCTAAATCGACGATCAATTTAGGCATCGTTTTCGTATGAGTCGTCGATTGTATCTCCGTATTGCCGATGACATGGCAAATACAGACAAATTTTTTACATTACAGTCGGATGCGTGATTGGAGAGGGGAGTTAATATTACACAGAAATGCACGGCGGCAATAAGGCAACTTGGGTACGGTACAAGTAGCAATTCATGGGATGAGTACCTTCGAATGTCAAATAAAATGGCCCGGGAATGTTTGTACAAGTTTGCCAAGAGCGTCGTCATGCTATATAGCAAATAATATTTGCGTAGACCAACACGAAGAGACGTTGAGAAGTTATATGTCGCCCATAATGCTAGACACGGGTTCATTGGGCATGGCATAATTGCCCAAATGTGTGGCGTGGTCAGTACACACGTACGCGGCGATCACAGACATCCGACAATAATTCTTGAAGTTATGGCATCGCAAGATCTTTGTGTTTGGCATGCGTTTTTTGGTGTAGCGGGGTCGAGTAACAACTTGAACGTGTTGAATTACACTAATTTTTTTACCGACATCATAGAGGGCGTTGCACCCAGCTCTTCTTTTACTGTTCTAGGGGTGGAGTAGAAGCACAATTACTATCTAGCTGAAGGTATATACCCTGAGCATGTGACTATAGTGAAAAGTTTATCATATCCCCAAGATGAATAGAGGAAAAAATTTGTGGTGTACCCAATTTAGAAGCGGTAAGAAAAGATGTTGAACAACTTTCTGGTGTGTTAAAGAAACGGTGGCATATTGTGCAAAACCCGGCGCATGCTTTCACACCCAAAAAATTGAGATACATTATGTGTGATCTTGTTACACAACATGATACTTGAAGACAAAGGGCATGTAATATGCGAGTACGACCTAAATGAAGTGGGTGAGAATGTTGTGCCGGTTGACACAGGGCAACAATAGTCAAATATGTGGGAATTACATAACCCGAAAATGCATCACCGCCTCCATGCCAATTTGATCAACATATTTGGTCTATCAACGAGTAATTTTTTTAATCCTAGTTTTATTCATTTTTTACATTTTTTATTAATTAAGTTTGTCTTTTTAATTCCTTCTTTAATTAATTAATGTCTCGTTTTAATTATGTATATTTTAATAATTGTATTCTTTTAATTCTAATGAATGAAATGTTTAATACAAATTTTTTAATTGAATTAATATTCGAAATGAAATGTTATAGAACTAATATTTAAAAAAAATAAGGATGAAATGAAAATGACACCCCTGAATGGGGATGGAATGTGAATGTAATGAAGAAAACTGATGTGACATTAAGGTAGAAGGGGGGATGATGGGAATGGTAGTGATGGTAACCCATAGCCTTACTACAATCTTTTTGCTTTTACTTCATGGGTCTAATAATGAACATCATAATGTCTGAAGTACTCGTATGTGTTTTTAAAAACATAGAGCAAGTCGATTAAATTTAAAATACTTTCAAAACAATATACACCTAAGGTAAACCATTTCAATAATTAAATTTTTTTAAGACGCATTTACTACCAATGGTAGTAAACGTATTTTCAAAGAGTTCTTTAAAGGCTTGAAAAGGTCCCAAAACAACCATACAAGTCTCCTATGAGAAGATTTCTCGACAAATTTTTATTTATATTAAGACTTTAGAATCAATCGTAAATCATCATTCAATGCAACTCTTTGGAAATCCATAGAAAAGAGATTTTGACATTTAGAAAAAGTACTCTCCTCCGCGTCCAAGTTGAAACTTCTTATTTTGACTTCGTGCGATTTTTAATGTTAAGTGAAAAAATAGTTGACTTTCCCAATTTGCCCTTCCTCTTACCTTTCTTCTTCGGCAAGCCCCCACTCTTTCATTGCCAACACACTGCGAAGAGGGGAGGGCAAGGTGGCGAAGAAAACGAGGGAGGTGACGATGAAGATGATGTGAGATGGGGGTGGGGGGCTGACGAAGACGAAGGGGTGCGGGGTGCGGGGGGGTGAGATGAAGAAAGAAAAGAGAAGAAAGAAGAAAAAGAAGAAAAAGGAAAAGAAAGAACAAAAAAGTAAAGAAAAGAAAAGAAGATGAGGAGCTGGGAGTGGAGGGTGTGGGGTGACAGGAAGAGTTAGTCAAGAAAAAAAAGAAGAAGGGTAATTTAGTCTTTTTGGCAAAAATGCCAAATAAGAAAACGGGAAGAAACCAGTGGGACGGTCCAAAAAGATTTTGACCCTTTAGAAAAAGTATCATTCATGGATGATCTCACATCCTTTCTTGTTTGCCTGTCATCTAGGCTAAGAACCCAAACTCTGACTTTCTGCATTTATTTATTTCTTTTTTGCAGGCCAAAGATAGAAGAGACAGTAAACCTTGAAGCACATACCATTGTTAGAATTTGGTTGTTTGTTAAGCATACTGAAATACCCATATTTATACACACCAAGTTCAAGCAGGAGAACATGTTACAAAGACAATTGTGGCCGTACGATTATCAAACTTCTAATTTGTGCACACTAAACTTGGAGCAGAGTCGTATATCAGATTAGATTGGCGCTTTGCAGTATTTACCTAATCCGCGGGTTGGAGTTGGACATGGGGACAAGGCCGGTCCGGATCCCCCTTCGTCCATAAGTGCTTGAGGTCGCCTCTTTTCTTTCCTAATGTCAAAAAGGTTCCTGCATAATGACAAGAGATGATTACGGCATTAGGCCAACCATAGAAAAGAAGGAAGCCAAATTAGTCTCAAGTGTTGTGACATACCTAAAGTGAAAGGAACTATGTAAAGCAATGCAGGTTGGCCGTGTCCATCCATCAAATTGAGAGCCAAATATGTTACAAGCAAACCTATCGGAAAGCACACAATAAATACAAAGTATATAGTTTGGTTTTTCTTGAGCACAAGTACATATTTGTTTTTCTTGAAAACTCTTGAGCACATGATGAGTGGCTGAAGTGCAGCGTGTGCCATTTGGTACGACGAAAAGTATGAACGGAAATATAGTATTTCTAGTGCAAAAAATGATTCCAAGCTTGAAACAACTTATATCACCTAACCATAAGCTGGAATATCTGTTTCTTGAAAAGATTCAAGAACGTGGCTCGGTTATTTTGACATTGGTCCATTTGAGCACCCTATGATGCTCCATTCAACCCCAAAGTAGTTTGTTTTCCCTAGCCCCACCCCCCCCCCCCCCCAAAAAAACCCCACACCCCATAATTGGGTTGACATCCTGGTAAAAAAATTTAAATAAAATATCAACCAAATTGGGGGTGGGCTAGGGTGGTTAGGACGGTGGGCATGGGATGGATGCTAGGGAGGTAGGAACCACTTGGGAGTCGAATGGATCATCATATGGTCCTAAAATGGACAATGTTAATAACCAAAATGTATTTAGGGATGGAGGGAAAATCTATAAGCAAAAGGCTAAACTTCAGACTGTGTTCGCCAAAAGTGAACAAGCTTCTAGCTAATGGGCAAAGAAGACAAACGGAAAACAAGTAGAAGACATTGTGATCATGTCTGCATTCTGGAATAATATTTGCTCCCTCCATTCCAAAATGATGTTTACACCTTTTTGAGATGTCCATAAATGAATTCTACATTTGCCTACTTTCCTATTGAAGAAAGGAATACTCCATATGTAGCACACAGCATTTCTCTCTTCTAACAAATTCCAAATACACACTTTTTACTTTTCAACACTTTTCTTAAACTTCAGTTTGTAAAAGCTAATGTTCCTAAGGCAAACAAAAGATTCCAAGTCTGAACTATAAATTTATCATACCTAAACCATAAGCCATCATTGCCCATAGAAAGTAACCTGTACGGAGACTCTTTTTAGATAACCAGTCATACCTGAAATCCAGAAGAATAAGTTATCAGTTCCTCACACATTTAGCCTATTAGGTCATGTTCTATTATTTGAATGTTCGCTTCATAATATCAAATATGCAATGAACATGACAATTACAAATATTTCCACCCATCTTCATCTCATGATGGTATCTAAGCATGTGGAAATAACCTATTGATGGTTTAAGAAATTTCAGATTACTACTCCTTTAGCAGCATGAAGAGAATCTGGCATAAAACATTGTCAATATGCTTTTTGCATGATATTAAAGAGTTGAATGATTGTATACAATTAATTGGATATAAAATTAGTGTTATAGACCCCAACAAGTTGGGATTGAGGTGCTGAAGATCACACACTTAGCTTATTACAAATAACTAGTTCCACAAAAGGCGTATATGGTAAACCTAACCATGCAGCTTGTTGAAAATGTTTAAACTAAGTGTGACTAGTGACTAGTGAGTGATTCTTGGTTCACAGAGAATCTTATATCAGATTTCCATGTTTAATGTGAAAGGCTAGTATATGGTATTTGTAAATTTCAGATGCTCAAACCTTAGCGAAAATGCAACTAGTAAACCAGGTAGAATAATGTCACCAAAACCAATGACACTATATCCACCCCAAGGGTCAAACATCCGTGGAATTTTCAGCAGCATGGGGATTCCATCCTCTCCACTTTTATCACCACGAGCAACCTGCAAGATGAAATAGGATTGATGGATATATCTCATGAAAAAGTGATAATAATCTGTAAGGCACTCTATATTGTTCCAAACTGCACAAATCAGAAGAAAACGCACCACTATCATCACACTCTCATGAAACCACCATTTTGAAACAAACACCCAAAAAAGGTCATACAAAAAAGCACAGCCCAGAAGAACCGTCCCAACCTGATAAAACCAAATATAAGTAGTTATATGAAATGTCATTCTATTCCAATCAATGAAACATCATGTAGTATCGTCATTCAACAAAACTCCTACCAGTACATCTGAAGAGATAGCAAACATCACCATAAGAGGCTAACTGTCTATCATGAAAGATAAGTACACTCATTGTACATGTAAAAGCAGTTAATGAGTCAATTTATTTTGATTCGATCACTGAGGACATTAATATAGTCCCATACTCCTAATTCACTTTAAATTACAGTAAACCAAACACATGCTCACATGATTTTGAAAAATCAGAAGCCTCCATTTATTTCACTATGCATATATAGGTTACGCTGTGTTTTTAGTACTTACGAGCTGAACTGCACATCTAACACTCAGGGAACAGTCAGTATGCTGACCGGTCCACGAACAAAACATATTGTTTTCCTGTTACGTGTTAATGGACAACTTTTTATTATTTTGTTAGTCCTACATTGTTAATTTTGTTTGCATCTATACATGTGATAAAATTATTGTCTACTTTTCTTAAATCTTAACAGTCACTCTTTTATTCCTAACATGCTGCTGCTCAGTCTCCACCCGCATCTTATATGTTGGTTTTCCATTGGTGTAGTGAACAAGGTGAAGAGGTGTTGTTGATTCATGGTTTAAAAATCTAGATGTTCCAGCTTAGGTTGAAGTATATGAATTAGAAACCATAAATCCTAGGCTATTCCCGGTTAGAAACCTATTTATTGTTGATTCATGGTTTAAAAATCCTAGTATATGGTTTAGAAACCTATTTATTGAGGCCTACTATATCATCTGACTAATTCTATATAGACAATAAGCTCCGTGTATTTTATGGCAATCTGATTGCTGTATAGGTGTATAGAGGGTGGCAGTCAAATATGGCTACATGAACAAGCTGCAACAGCCTTATGGAAAAAATGAAAGCACAAAAATTGAGTGCGTTCTGTTTTACCTTAAGATTTGGAACTCGAACAACTTGGAGAACTGTGACAATCAACGCAATACCCTGATAACAGGTAATACCACAAGAGATCATTTTATATGCACAAGCACAGGCAATGAAAACAACTAAGCAACATATATGTTATCCTGCTCTTTTATTTCACCACTAAATTATGTATGGATTCAATGTTCTTGATCTAAAACCATCATGGAATTTAATAAAAAAGCAAAAGTTGGAAGCTTTCTTATCCATTATTATAATTCTAAACTTGATCCTTAATACCTAGTACATAAAATGTGCAGTCTTCCTGATAAAATCAGTTACCGAACTGCTAGTGTTTGGTGACATAAACTTGACTTTTTGTAATTCTCTTTCAACTGTTATTGGATGTCAACTATAAAATATCACCGAGACAAACTATTTTTAGTCACAGTATTTTTACACGATAGGCATTCCAAAATACATCCACCAAACCAGCCTAGGTCGTTCAGAGAAATTGATAAATGTTTAACAAATATACACAAGAAACCCTTACAAGTATATCTTGACCTATCCAAGCAAAGGATACTCGTCTAAAAACAGCCCACATAACAGCAAATGCTATGCAGAATGGAGAAACAGCAAGAGTCAGATATGATACTGCCCCAAGTAAAGGTACTTTTACGAAAGTTTCTGCAGCACTTCCAAACCATCTGAAACTATATTCAATGATGGTTAGCAATTCTTTCTTATTCAAATGTCAATGTTTATAAACATACTACGTAAATAATAACTTTCTTATTGAGGAAACAAATCTTGGAAGAATTTGCAGCCAAGCTTAACAAAAACAAATTATGAAATTAATTCACACCCAAGCTTGGTTCTCTGATGACAGGCAAAAAACCAGAAGTCAATGCAAATTCCTTTAATCACAAGTGCATATACTTTTCTTTCTTAGAGGGAATGACGATATGCAAGCAGCCACATTGTCTAGATGCCGCAAGTGCAAACTAAAAATAATCACTAAGTTCCGGCACCAGGACAGTATAATTCTTATAAAAGATTTCCTAATGCTGACATTTTTTGGAGACTTTTACAAGTAGTCTATTTCTGTAAGGTTGTGCTGCTTGAGAAAATATTCAAACATAATAGTTATGTAGATCCAAAAGAAGAATTTATAAGAAAATTGTTCTGCATACCAGGATAACAATGCAACCAAACAGGTAAGCAAACCCTGCAAGTAGAATGAGGCAAATTGTCAAGTATTTAGTGTAAAGAATGAGATAACTTCAGCAATGAATATTCTGAATACAACATTCTGGCAAGGTCCTAACTCAAAAAGAGTTAAACAAAATGAACCAGATCAAAATGTTTAAACTGACTTTGAAATTCTAAGAAAGCTGCATGTTATTTACCCAGAAACTTGTACAGGTTTATTTGTTATACTTGGTTTCACACTAAAAAGTAGTGAATTGCTAAGAATCAAACTTAATGATTTCTCCTGAGATTTAGATAGATTACCTCTACACCGCCGATGCAGAACAAAACCACCAGAATCTCAAGGAACCAGGCGGACATTAGTTTGTAGAGCATGATCAAAAAGCAGGAAGCCATGACAACAAAGAGAATTGCTGACATTGTGTTGATGTCCACCACACCACTGGTTTGTGTGGCATCCATGCCACGGTATTCATCCGAGCCATCCTGTAACATAAAAATCTAGTGCTTAACAAAAATATAATGTACCAGCACCCTGAAGCTTAACAGGACTACAGGAGGATGTACATTAAGCCAATGAGTGTAAAGGCATCTATGTAAGCCAAGAATTTACTTTAAGCAGCTTATCTTGCTGAATTGCTGCTTCTCTGGCAGACCAAGCTGACCAATATGATGCACATAAGATTGTAACAACAGCCATGAGCCACAGAAATACTTCAGCTACATCAACCACAGGACGCCTTGGAGAATACAACTGCACAGAAACTGAGGAGAGTGGAAATGACTATCAAGCTCTTGTCATAGTGTAGAAATAGAGCTTGAAAGCCCAAATCAAGAATATAAAATAATAAATACAATTTGAATATTTAAGTTACTAAAGATGTGAAAAGGTAGTCATTAGTTTCTTTTTATTTTTTTCCTTCATATGAATTTTACCCCTTGACTTGTTCATAATATTGTCTATCAAGCTTCTGCCTGCATCTTGAGGGAGCATGATAGCAGGTATGCCAATAACCAAATCAGTCTCATTTCCTTGACAGACCATCTTGAAGAGCTCTGCATTGCAAAGAGAAGAAACACAGAATTGACTTACATTGTTTTCTCAAAAATTTCAATAATAGAGATATCCATTGCATGACAGCGCACAACATTGTTCAAAACCAGATATTTCATTTGAAACACATACTCACAAAATAAATGTGCTACTTTTTTAGACATCACAGAGCGTACGACTTGAGGAAGCAATAATTATTACTCAAAGATACAGGAGGATAGCACTCTGTGAAATACCACCAAACCTGTTTGGTTGTTTATAATCAGGATAGATGAAGCACCGGCATCATCTGCGACATTAGCTTTTGTAGTGAAACTGCAATTGCCTCGATGGACTAGTATGGCCTCACCAGTAAGCTGCCATGAAACAGGATGTAATGCTCAGTGCTCACTGTATCGATACTACGACTATTAATTTTATATTGTCCAAATTTAAAAAAGGCAAACACATGTAGCGTGCTTATCAGTTATGTAGATAAATAAGATTAAAAACCTTATTCTTCGGTTTGCTACACAAATCAGGAGGGTCAGCAATAGCAAGTCTTGTTTGATTGGCACGCTTCTCTTTTGACTCCAGGGTTGGGCCAAATCTAGCACCAACTCCTACAAACTCCATTTCCTCTTTACCATTGATCCAGGTTGCAACTTTGACCTTTGTAATAATGAGGAAATCTAGTCACACTCAGCTTTGAACTTCTAAGTCAGAAAAAAATGTGCTAAACCATGAACATTTTCTCATATAAAACCACTGATTCCATGCTAATTAAAATTAATGTAGAAAGAGATTGGCATTTGAGGAAGCTAAACTTATGCATATACTGAAAATAATTTAATCATAAAAAATGGCATACTAGTAAAGGGGAGGCATTTATAAACCATGCCAAACCAAAGAACCCCAGTACATCCCACTCAAAAGGAAAGACTTTTATTTTACATATTACTCCCTCCCTCTCAAAATAAACTTCCCACTTTTTTTTGGTTTGTACCAAAATATATTTCTCATTCCCAAAAAGAGTAAGATTTTGTCTAATAAATTTACCCCTTACCCCACCTTCATTCAAGTAAAGAGTAACTAAAGCTTTGTACCAAAGCCAAGAGTGAAGTTTACTTTGGGACAGAGCAAATACTATGTTTATATTGCTAGTGGTACCATTAGAAATACACCATACCTATACTTCTGAACCTCCTGTTGGTTAATACTTAGTAATCATGCAAGGATAATGCAGAGCAAGTGGTATTCTAGACAAATACCATAGAGATTTATAAAAAACACCTTGAGGCCTGCATTGATGGGAGGTTTAGGCCATGTTCTCTTCAATTTATTCTTATTACTTATTACTTTTTCTTAATGGAATCCATTCAAATCAGATCAGAAATAGCTTTAAATATAACCATAACCACATTCAAGTCCGATCAAGTCAGACTAGACCAGATCAGAACTTATTCCAATCATATCAAAACCATTCACATCAGGTGAAGAGAACATGGTCATATTCTTTATGATGTTATTTTGGGCATATAGTGACTATTGCTAATGTACTTATTTGCAGATTAATATACTTTTTTTAGTAAATCTTCTCTATTTACTTCAACAGGACTGTGCTTTTCCTGTCATTGGATTTCATGAAGTGTGACACTGAGCAACTAACCAAGGCACAAAAAAATATTAAATATAAATGGTCATAAACAGAAGATAAAAAAAAATTAAATCATCACAATTATCAAAGATCTATACACGACGAAAGATTATAGAAACTATAGTTCGGAAGAAGATCCAACAATCAGAAGGTTGACATTTGAAAAGGCTAAAACACCAATAAAGTGAAGATTTTGTGAAAATTCCCAAATGAAACTAGCAATTTCCGGCAATTATAGCAATACTAAACTACTCCCTTTGTTCCAAAATAAAGTTCACATGTGACTGAGCATGATTAATTAAGAGATTGAAAATTGTATGTTTGTGATTTCTTAGAAAATCATTACCAACCACCCAATTCTTCACTTATAAAGAAATAAATACGGAGTATATATTTTTCTCTCTGTCTTAGTTCAATCTGGACCATAATATATGATCAAATCAGGTAATCAACACCTCAAAATTTTGATAATCAACTTCAAAATTATAGACTAAACCTTAAAAATGAGCAAAACAAAACAGGGTGGGGAATCCGAATCTCACCAGAACAAAGTTGTTGTCACAACCAGCTCTCCTCGGAGCTACATCGTCATGGTGAACTATATCCCCACCTTGAACACGACCAGAGCAGCTCATCAGCAGCAGCAACAACAACGCCGGCAGTACAACGACCGTACGAACCGAACGGTACGGAGATGTGCTTTTCGACTCCATAACCTCTCGACCCTGAAAACCCTTCTTTGGATTCCAGAATTCCTCTGATTGGGTTTGGGTAGGGGAAGGAGAAAGGGGAAATGGATTAATTTTTTTATCTTCCCAATTCCGATCCTTTTACTGTGTTGTTTTCGTTTCAGGTAGGACATGTGACGGGACAGTAGTGGGTGACATGTGGAGTTGTGTACGGAAATTTTCAGCTAAGTACTCCCTACGGAATATCCCGGCCAAAAATGAATTTTTTTAATTACTTTCAATTTAATTTAGTTAACTAAACTTGTAGAATTAAATACTCCGTAGTAAAAAAAGAATTACCTCGCATATAATTTTAAAAATTACAAAAAAACTTGCAAAACACAAAGTAAGTAAAATATTTTTGCTCACTTCATTCTTGAAAAAAAACTAAATTATAAGTAAAACATAAAATAAATATTAAAATAGGAACTCAAAATATTTATTTCTAAAAATAGAAATTACGGTGTTACTAATGTCAACATATAATACCAAAAACATCTTGTAGTATCAATATACACTCATATTATCACAATACAAACTTATTTTTAGAATTAAACACATGAAATTTTTGTATTGATAGTTTCTCCTTAAATCACTTTAATACATATTTTTATCCATAATACCATTGCTTTCAAAAACCTACTATTTTTCCATTTTCTCTCTTGTGAGAAATGTTCTCTTTTAAAAGAAGCAATAAATGCTTCCCAATCATCTTATGCTTGGAAAGCATTTAATGCCAACAAGCTCCAATACACAGATTCTCAAAATCAATTTTATTCTTCAGAAGCACTATACGGAAAAGCATCTATATTATGGATGGTCTAATGGTATACTGGCAAATCCATAGGGGGTAGTATAGTAAGGAGAAGGTTTGAGGGTAGTGCCCTAATTTTTATTTATGTAGTTTTAAATTACGATAAAAAATTATAATTTTATATCAAACAAATTTAAAATAAATAAAACAAAATATTTCAAAAGTAGTAAAATATAATACTCCCTCCGTCCACAAATAAACTTTACATTACGCGTTACGATGTTTGACTAAAGTTATTTTCAAATCATTTTATATGAAAAATGGTGTAGAATTGAAAACTAAAAATTACATATTAAAAAACTATATCAAAAGATCTACAAAACTAGAGGTGACATGACTATATTATTTTATCAAATGGGTGACGAAAATAGGCCAACAAAGTGAATAAAGTTTGACCCTGTGAATAGTGAATGTAAAGTTTATTTGTGGACGGAAGGAGTATTAGATTAATTAAGTAGTACGGAATTAATAGGGATGACAAAATTTTGTCTCAAACTCATTCTGAACCGTTTTTAATGACATAGGACCGGGACATATAAATATTTTCCCATTCTGTCATGTTGTCTCGTATGTATATATATATATATATATATATATATATATATAGAGTTTTACTTTAATGGTTCTAAGGCCCACATGTGAAATGTGAACATTCTAACACTTTTCATGAGCTGGTAAGTGAATCTTTTTTTCTTTTTTATGCCAGAGGCCCAATTTTTTTAATGATATGAATGCACTAAGGTTTATAAAATTATTATCTTTATTAATATGAAAATTTGATATTTCTAAACTATGTATTAGGATCCATAAAAGTGGGTCCATAACAGGTATAAGCAAAAAAATAGTACAAAAGTCTAACGCCTCCATGGTAATGTTATATATTTTAGTGTAATTAAAAAACTATTTGACCAATGGTGTCATAATAATCACAATGATCGTTAAATTTGTTATGATAAATGTCTTGTTTTAACGGGGGTTTCATGGGGGGAGCGCCCCATTGGCGGTGGTTCGGGCAGCTTCTCTGAGCAGGGTTCAAGAGGGCAGCCCCTGCAGGGTCCAAGGTGGGAAATTTTTTTTATTTCGGACAAAGTACTGAAAAAATTCACTTGAATTTTTAATTTTTGGAATTTGGGTATAAAAAAGATTTCGAAAAATCACCACTTCTAAGATTCATAGCAATACATATTTGTTCTAAATCAACAAAGTTTGAGTTTTATGCAATTGATTTTGGAGTGAACGTCCAAATATTCAATCTTTGCCCTCCCTCTCAAACAAAGAGGTTATCTTCTCTTTACATGCCATTCTCCTTCGGAATCACAAGCGCAGGGAAATGGGGGATCTCTATGCCCTGGATTTCGATGGGGTTCTATGTGATAGTTGCGGAGAAAGCTCCCTATCTGCTCTCAAGGTCATACCGTTATTTCTTCTTTTTCTTCTTAGTCTTTTTGCAACCATTTTCCGTAGATCAAGTGACGCCCTTTGGAATCGATCTTTCTTAAGCTTATGCCATTTCTTAATTGGAATTGATCTTTTACCGTGGCTTCTATCCGTAGGCGGCCAAAGTGAGATGGCCCAGTCTGTTCGAGACTGTAGATTCTTCGTTGGAAGGATGGATTGTTGATCAGATGCACATTGTAAGTTGCTTTTAATCTACTGTTCTGAAGTTTCAAATATCAATTATTCGGTTTTGGATCTCATGAGGATGGAAGAAATATAAGTTGTAGCCATTATTGAAGTTATTGTTTTAGAATATAACCAAAATCAAGTTTGGTTGAATTGGTTCCTAACATGACATCAAAGCATTGATATAGATCTAGAGGTCACAACAACAAGTTGAATAGCACAAGAGTAGGGTCTGAGTAGGGCGTGTGTACGCAGACCTTGCCCTTACTCAAAAGTAGGTAGGGATATAGAATTATAGATATAGAGGTTACATGTTCAAATTTCACCCCACCCAGATTTAAAAATTAATGTTCAAGAGGCTCATTAAAAGAAAATTCTTCCTGTACATGAAAGAGCATGTTAAAATATAGGAGTAGAGCATTTTTTGGATCTCTAACCAAAATTTTGTAGTCCAGTACTCCAGTTGGTTAATTAACAGTTAAAAAAATGTATTTAAAATCTAGATTATTTGTTGTGTCCATCATTAAGGCTCTTCGGTTTTTCTTGTAAAAGGATTTTCTACTCCTACTTTGTGTTGCATCTTGCTCTCAAGTGAGATTTAAAGCATTTGTTTGGTTTAGTTTCTGCGCAGTCTAGGACCTGTCTACTGGTTGGATAAGCAGTTTTTAAAGGTGATTTACATTTGGCAAAACTAGGGAAGGATTTGTTGCTGTTACGATATGCACGCGTGTGATATAATTTTCTAGAGTTTCTTAGGGTAGGGAGCTATATATTTCAAATTATCCTTATATGTTTTGGCATTAACATTTACAGTGTATAGTAAATGTATTTAAAGTTTTTTATGCAAGCTACTTGAGATAGAATTGATGTTTCGATTTTTGAAGCTGAAGAGTGTTTGAAACATCAATCTAAGCATCGTACAACATTCAAATGATTTTACAAATTGTCTGAACACAATTTGGAATTTTATGGGTCAAGTGGACAGTGAATTTACAAACTGTTCAAGAGCTGTGTTCATGGAATGGCAATAAAAAAAACTGTACATCCACTGTCATATTGCCTTCTCGCGGAAAGTACTCCCTCCATCCCAAATTTACCCTTCGACTTCACGCAGTTTAAAAAATGTGTTGAAAAGTGAAAGGTGTGTGTAGGATAATATGTTAGGGAGACTGATGACGTATAGGATAATGTTATACAGCCCGAAGATGTGGTCTGTGTTATGCTGTGCATTAGCTGTAGTTTGCTTCTTCTAGTGTAGTTTGATAATCAGTTATTGGGGCAACTCTTTAACAATGAATGTTATGTGCACTCTAAACCTTGATAATGCAAAAGGATAAAATTATTTTGCACATGTGGCATGATAGTATGGGATGATGCAATTTTCACGCTTAGGATAAGAGCGCACATATTTCAATCCCCATCTCTACATTGTGATTTTCTTCGATGGCTCACGATATCCGCAACTGCTTATATACTACCGTTTTCAATCATTACAAAATGAAAAGTTGGCCTTGGATGTTGAAGTCAATTTGTCTAACTAACTAAGGGAAAATAGC